GATATATTAATTTGCTTCTCGCTAAACAAAATTGAAATAATTACGATTAGTCAAAAATTCGAATAAGGGGTAGTTTCCAGCCCGATACACTAATAATTCAATAAGTTTTTTCCTTGGAAATTCTTGAATCGGTCAAGAAACTTTCTTTTATTAAGGGGTTCATTCATATTACGTTGGTCTAGTTAAAAAGTTAATTTTTTTCTCACCACTGCCTATACCGAATTCCCAACAAAAATACGACTTGTTACAACTTCAAAGTATACAGACCTAAAAAATTTAATTAGAAACTGTTCTTTCTAAACATTGTCGCATTGTCGCATGTAAAAAATATATTTTACATTAATTAGTTTTATTTCGTCAAATTCTATAGCTAAATGAAAATAAGCCAATATTGAAGTACTGCAGTACACTATTTACAATCTGTTCCAAATTATGTAAATGGCCTGACAGATCTCCTTAACTGAATCCCTCGAGTTTGTGGAGTTACCTACCTAAAATCTAGTCAATCATCGACCAAATAATAGTGAAAACGTGACTATTAGATTAAGACAAGAAATCAGCCTAATCTTCCCTCAGCACTTAGTCACAGTTTGACCAAAATATCTATAATAAAATAAAAATTTACAAAAATATTTAAAATTGAAAATCATTTTAAAAGCAATTGCAATGTAATCGATGAGAAGTTTATTCGTGTGGTATGCAGAATTACTGGAAGATAATTGTTTAGCAAGGTAAGCGGTCAAATATCCGAATTTGTATTCATCTGTATATATTTTATTTCAAATGTTGCATGCTCTACGTTCGCAGTTTACGTTGACAAACCCTTCAATAGCATATTAACAAACGAAATCATATTCACATATTCTTGAAGATATTGTGCTTTAAAGGCCTACGTTATATTCGATTATTCAGGAGGACAAAATTTGTTTCCTGAATAAATAGAAGGTACACCCACGCCGCTTCGCTGCTTCTGGGTCAATCGGGCGTAGGCAGTATAGAGGGTAGATGAACATTAATCACGTTTATGGTTTGCTTTATACAAGAGAAATGTTGGACTGCAAAGGTTCACCTTTGATTGAAATCCTAAAGTACATGCGAAAGGATTTATATACTCAATGTCTAAAAAATAAATAAAAAGGACGTTTCTAAACCCATAAAAAAATTATCGGTGCAAACGAACTTTTGAGGGTGGAGCACAAGGCTCAAAAGAAATTGAAAGTTACGTGTTAAGTATAAATTTATAATACGTGACACAGTTTTGGATGTCCGCAATTGAACCAATTGACTAGATTCTGTGAACCACTTGGATAGAACTTTAAATTATATTTGTAGAAGCTGAGTTATTGAGTTATATGCAAATTAAATTTATAATCGAATTATTCGGATTTATTTTAATTGCTTTACCTACTGTTTTTATAAATTTCCAGTTCTTGCAAACGAAAGATGTAATTTTCCATATAATTTGACTCAATAATTTAATTTGACAGCTTGCGATTATAAATATGAAAAAATTATACTTCAGAACAATGATTACGAATCAAACAAAAAAATTGTAAAATATTTATAGTTGGAACGTGAATAGCGAATCCTCAATAAAGAGTGAAGATTTATATTATAGACTCAAAAGTTGTAATTTACTCTACTAGATCTGGATAGAGGGTGAATTTGTCTATCATTTAAAACCTTTTAGCAACAAATTGAGATATCTGTTTTTTTCTTTTAATTTCAGTAGGTCAAGAAGGTTTATTGATTTAGCGATATTTCCAGTACTTTTTTGGTCACTTGTTAAGTGAAATTCAAGATTAATAGTCTATATACTCGATATCAAACATTTACCTTCAGAAAGAAAATGTGCACAAAACTTAGTTCCTCCTAATTTACTTATACCTTGCAGCGTAAACTTGTACTATTCATCGTTCCATGCCACTTAATTTACGATAATTTCAAATTCAAAACCTTATTAAAATCTGCGTTGAGTTTCTTTTGATTTATATTATTCACAATAGTTTTTCCACAACGCTTAAGTTGATATTCAGTCGGCAGGTTTATTCATATTACTGTCTTATTTTCAGCAATATTTTGAATGTCTCCAATTAAGCGCCATATGTAGTTTATGCCAGAAATCAGCTTTTTTATGTGTGATAGAACAGTGAAACGGGCAGCGCGTTATCTTGCTTTGGGTCATAGCATATGCCCAATCATACTGCCAGCAGCGTTATTGGAATATCAAGTGTGATAAATCCGAAACAATGAGGTTTAAACCAAATATCCAGTTGAAAATATCATTGAAAGTGATTCAGTAATTAAAAAACAAAATTAAATGAATAATTATCTATTTAAAAACCTTAAGTTAGCTAATTCGTAAGCAAAAATGCGCCTTTTTCCATAATGAGAAATAGTTTAAGTTTAAATATTTAGTTTTAGTTTGCGATAGTTACGTTTTAAATATTTTTTTTGGTATGACAGAGAGTAAAGCGAGATTTTGCTACCAGAGAAAAGTCTGTTGAATTACTCTATGTCTTTGTTCGTTTATTTTCAACGTTTTACTTATATATGTAAGTTTGGGCACCTGCATTCCCCGCGGGCTTTCTTTAGGTCAAATTTTAAATTGATGCGCATATATTTACTTTATTCCTGCAAGTTGAAAGAGTTGCTTCCCAATAGACATTTTATTTTTGAATGAAATATTTAAATTATTCGTTGTGCAACGGAGTTATAAATTCCGTTAAAAAGTTATTAAAGGGCTTTTTATGATACGTTAGTCTGACATCTCAAAAAAGAATCGATTTGAATAAAGGCGCCTAGTACATTTCGAATTTTTACATCCTGAAATAATTTTCTTAAAATTTAATTATTGAAATGGTTTTGAAAACTCTAGATTTAAAGCATTTTGCATCGGTTGAAAATATCACATAGCGACAAATCTACTGGGACCAGCCCAAGTTTTTGACATATCCTGGCAAAACTATGTTCCATAACAGTTAATCCAGTTAATCTTAGAAACTTACTTTAATCCTTTAGAAGATCTTAAAGTTTTAGTCTCCAGTTGAATTGGCCTAATGAATATTGCGCTAACTGGTCCTGATATTCTATAAATTTTCCTTATACTGTGATTTACAAGCGAAAATCAATTGCAGGGAGAAAATATATTAAACCGGAATAAAGATAATTCCAACAATTCAAAATGCATGTAGAAATCTAATGTGAACACATGTAATAGATAAACTAATGTCCAATCACTCTATTTCCCTTGTTATTAATACACTGTGGCATAAATCCAGTTGGCCTTAAAACATTTTCCTGTATGCCCTTTTGACCTTATAAAATATGCTTTTCTTATGGCACACAATATCTGGAAACCCGTTGTTCTTCCTGATCCTTCGGCTTACAAAAATGATTCAGGTTTTTCGGATTAGAACTATAAAATAAACCTAAAGTCTTAAGACTATAAAATAAATCTTAGCGAAACTTTTTAATACATTTTTACTACGATACGTAACCGAGTTAACTTTATCCGAAAGGGCAAAGTTTGAAACAAACACAATTTTCACGTAAATCACTTGGATTATTTATGGCAGTGTCGGTGTATCTGTTTAACTTTCGTGGGCAAGTTAATTGCTTTCAAGACAGGCATCTCTATCTCTTGGTAACTTTATTCAGCATAGTTAGACTACAGATTCTAGTGTCCTAATTATACTCTGGTCGGTAAAATGTCTAGGATGAAAACTTGCTTTTCTGGAAATACTAGAAATTCGAAGGTCTACGATGCAAAATAAAGTTTTTTAGTTAATACAACATTGAACAACTTCAAATTCACATTCATTCACATTGTTTTTCCAACATCGTGAGTTATAATCATGGAAAGTTTCTTAGATGCGCAAGTAATATTATTTTTTAAGGTTCAATCTTATTCAAAATTGTTTTCAATCTGTACAAAGATTTCATTTTCTCACCACTCAAATAAATCATGCTTATATTATTAGGAGTTCCATTAAAACAGACTTGAAAATTTAATTTAAGAAGAAACTGTTTTATTCCATTTTCCAACAGTTTATATTTTTATGTAATTACATACTCTTTCCTGTTTTTAATTCATAACAGATTAATTCTGTAATATTATTAGCGGAATGTGTGTTTCGTGATAAACTTTATATACGAAACACAAACTTTCTCACAATCATATCACGAAGCACAATAGTTAAGTAATTAAAGCGCCATTTAATTGAAACCCTTTCAAATTTAAATTGACACAAACTGTTCAAGTTACACGTTCAATTCAATTCTTATAAAGCTCGGAACAAAACAGTTTTCGGGCTCCAATTTTTTTTTGTGCTGGTGAACGCAAAATAGGTATTGGAATCSAAAAACAAAGCTAAAGCTTTGGCTTCCTGTTTCCAGTTTCAAATYCTGCAGTTTAAGTCGSCCTGTTCGCATATTATATGAAAAACACATCTGCAGCACTCTAATTTGCCAAAAACCATTACATGGCTYAATGATTACTACTTAATATATGTGTTTTAATCGATGTACTTTATRTACAAAGCACACTGAATACACTGTAATTTACTATCCTTGTGTGTAGMAWTCATTTGGAGATTATTAACAGCCGATTATTTTCTGAGCGAAAATTTTAATATCATATTGATTTTCTTCCTGCTTTCGCAAACATAGGAAACTGTTAATTTGCCGGGTTTATTATTGTGGTTTACTTTTCCTAATTGATATTTTCGTGCAGGCTGTTACTCTTTTACAGTATTTATTTATCATATACAGCATATTTTCGGAACATATACTWAATGCAATCATCCGGATCATATGATTAGGCTCAKAKWRTAACTTAAGTTTTCCGTTGCCGTGCCACATAGAGTTAAACATAATTGAAATTTACGGTATAAATTTCACATAGTTTGAGCTGCCGCTAAACCTCTGTAATTAATAAACTGATCAAACAGTAAAGTAATGATTAAAAGTTTGATGTTGTATTGTCTGCTTATTTCCAGAGCGCAATTACCTGGAATTTCTAAATGATCTCGATAGAAGAAATGTGGAATTTGACGATATTCATCAACAATGGCCATTTTCAAACGTTCCCAGAAATGCAGACAACACCAATGTTGAAGAACCAGAACTAGAGGAAGATGATAGTAAATCTCTCACACCGATGGACAATTTAGCTAAAATTGCCGAATTAAAAGCAGAAATGGAGAATAGGTAAGTTGTATAATATAAGGGTTCAATGTAAAAGGATGAAAACAATAATACAATTGGCAGTTTTTAGTTGAAGCGTTAGAAAAGTGACCTTTCGAACTGTCTAGCTATTTATTTTGTACGATTTTAGAAAAAAAAATTACTTAGAAGTAGATATGGAATAGGAGTTATCACGCATTTTAGTACAATTTTATAATAACTTTTCTTGCATAGTATTATCCCTTTTATTATACAGAGAAAAAGGCTTATGAACAATAGTATATTCGTTTATATAAACTAACCAAATACTGTGGTTTTATTTCATTTAATCATTAATTTATTCTTAAATAAAAATATAATTTGCAATCGTTATTTCTTCGCAGATAACTGCATAAAAAACTTTAATTGACACCAATTTCCTGATCTTTTATATATTTTTGTGTGTTTGAAAATTAAGATATTGCTCAAATCTGACGCCGTTGGAGCATTATTTTTGAATTATGTGATTTTTTAAAAGTAAAACTGTTTTAATTATTTAATAAATTAAAAATAATATATCATTAAACGTTAATTTTATTTCTATGGGTCTGCGTGAAGTGAGTAAATTCGATCAAAAATATATTTTTTATTATTTTTCATAATTTAGCTGGATATGACGTGCCGTTTATTTAAATTATTTTCAAAAATTAAAGTGCATTTTACAGAATATTTAGTGTTTCACCCGCCAAACTTTATGAAATTATACTGCTACAATAAAAATTTAAATAGCTTATACAGGGTGGTTCGAATTAGATGAACGAAAGTTTTTGCTTTTATGGAAGATTTTTCCTATTTTCTCGACACTTTTGCCCTTAGAGAAACCAAAATTTGTTAATATTTTTAAAGTTAAAATGAGCATAATTAAAGCTGAACTAATAAAGTTGAAAGGTTGCTTCATTAAAACCACACACTCACAAAACTTAATTAAATACTTTCTTTTACTTCTACTACAATTAGACAACGGAAAGATGTCCTAGAAAAGAAATAAATAGAGGAATGATAATAAAATGTTCCAGAATTTTTGTTCAAAGCGTTTATCGTTATATTTAGAAGCTAACAAGTGGAGCTAAATTGACTTGCCTACCAAGTTCGTGTAGAGGCAATATTAAATAGCACCCAACGATTTATGTAAAAGGCATTTGAAAGTTAAATTACACTTTTAAGTTGAAAAGTCACGATTTACTGGAATATTTATCAAGCTTATCATGTATGAAGCGACGACGAGTAGGAAATTTAAACAACAATTAAGGCGAAATCTGCTTATGTTCCCTGAGACTATTAATGAGAATGACGAAATTAATTTCTGAAGACTTAGGCGGTAATTGAAAAGGCGGGTTTCATGCCCTTATTAATTGTGTTTCGTGTTGAATTACATTTTATTTTATCTTAACTATGCAGAAAGATTTTAGCCTATGTTTTGATTTCAAAATGTATTTATTTATTGGGTGTAAAAATAGAAATTGATTTTCCATTTGATTTGTTAAATACTTGGCGTAAAATACTCCAAAACTGTTGGCGATTTTCCTAAAAGTGACCCAGCAAATTAACGATGTTTTAATGAATTTCTTCAGTCAATTAAGTAACTAATAAAGCCGAAAAAGTGCTTTTTGTTTTCTCATAACATGGTTTTCAACCAGATGCTTTTTTGAAAATGTTTAAATGTAAGTTGAAATGTTGTGTTTTTCTGGATATAGACGGAGTTTCGTAATGGATTGCAAACTAAATCACATTTAAGGCGTAAATTTTAATTTACAGCAAATGTTTCCCAATATTTAAATTTGGTTTAAAGTAGCCAAATATCTTTATATTATAAATACATGAAAACAAAGCGTTAGTTTATTTATAAATCTGCTTGGTATATAAACTTTTCATATACTTAAACTCTCCTTACTGTTTCAACAGCCATGATAGTTCATATCATTTAAGAATGTACTTAAACAAAAAATTAGTTTTCATGTTTTCAGGAGGAATCAAAAATACCAAACGCTCTTAGGATCCCTTATTGCAAATCGTCCAGATCATGCTGATAACTACGAGCGAATCGCTCCAGGCCTATCACAATATACCAGAGAGGAAGAAAAAGAACAGCTCCATGATTATGATAATGTAAGTAGGTATAGAGATGACCAAACAGGAGTAAATTTCAGAAAATATATTAACTGGCCACAATCGATTTGAAAAAATCAGGTAGTTCAGTTTCAAGTTCGTTAGTATCGATCAACTGGGTTCAATTTTCAAAATTCCCTACTTTAATGAGATGGAACAATGGTTACAATTTTTTTCAAATTTGCAAAATGTGTTAAATACATACTATCGAAACATGGTGGTGCTGACAATGATTTTTCATAAACTAGACTTAACTAAACCTAAAGAAAATTTTTCAAAAACCATGTTGATACAAAGAAATTAAATTGGCTCGCTCGTCGTGTGCTTTGCAATACACATTATTGAACAATATGGGACGTCGTAAAACCGTTTTAAGGTCCACCGGTATAAATAAAGATCGTAACGATATTGATATTCTTTTGATGGCAGAGTTTTTCACATATGCTCGCTTTGCAATTGCAACGATGGTAGGAAGATAAAGTAATAAAAATGATCCAAAACCTAATGCGACAATTTTTTGCTATATACGTAGCCAACCAGAGTAGCGCTGTAAAATTTACCGAAACTATTTGAAACTGATTGATTTTCTACTCATATTACACGTACTGCAGTGAGCTATTTATTTCAATGATAAATTCTTTGCAGCACAAATAATGAACTTTACTAGGAGGTATGAAACAGAATACTTTTATATCACTTTAATTCTTTTTGGTTATAAAATAGTTCATTATTGGTCTAATGCGACTACAGCGTCCACCCAATTATTTTGAATATGTCCCATTTTAAAGCGCAGTGTTTCAAGAACAATTTCAATCCGAATTTCTAATTGTTCATTTTCTACACGCCTGCTGAGTAGGAGTTAAAATAAATTTTCTCCTGGATCACTCGAAGGTAATACATTCCCCATTCCGGCTTATTATTGGCAACACCTACGTCGTGAGTTTATTAAACTTCCATATAATCCGACACAATATTAGGAAATATATTTACTCCTGATGAGCGTCCCAATAGAACAATTGCTGTGGGCGTAACGACAGTGATTATGGAAATAAATCCAATTTGTTATCGCCTTCGCAATTGCTTGTTTTGGACATCCCCAAACGAAGGGTGAAACACGATGCGAGAAAAACAAAATGAAACAACACTCAGGCATTTTTAGATTAAAATCTCCGCAACAAATTTGTGGCTCATAAAGTGGCCAGACAAAGAGGAACTACGACGGCAACAAACCTTGGGGGAAAAAATGAAAACAACAATAAATATGCTTGGCAAAGGAGTCCCAAAAGAGCTGATGTCACCCCGTCGACTTTGATAAAATCCCCAATTTTTTTATTTACCCACATTGCGATACCAGCGGAATATCAAATAACCCACACGGCGACCGTCTTAACAGAATACGTTTTAAAATGACTCAAAATATGTTACGGAAAGTCTGCCAAAGGCGTGAGACTACTTGTTTATGAGCTTTGTCTTTGAACTAAGATGGCTCACTTGAAAAGAGACTAACCAGCCAAACTTCATTGGCTCGAAGGCTTAATAAAACTACTCACATAGCGCCAAATGTGCGAAGATGATGTGAATATCTTACGACGAAATGCTCATTCGTAGGATGAATTGCATTTATATAATAACTAATTAGAGCTGATGACAAATTCGAATTGATTAAATTGCAAAGTAAATTAATAAAGGTGACGCATTATTAATAAAATTATTCCTAATTACCAACGTACTTCATTAAAAAGAACTAAAATATTTGAACAAAATCTTTTGATTATTCGAATATTTTGTTTCTTCTTCGGGAAGATTTTAAAACCACATGCTAAGCATTTATTGGAATTTCATATATTATGTCAAATAATGTATAGACTATTTGGGATATAAGTGGGAAATAATCGCAGATTAAAGACAAAATTCACAAAAACTATCTTTAACGTTTTCTAAGACTCCCTACAATTAATAAGTAGTAAACCTGTAACAGCAGCGTAAGAATAATAAAGAAATGATCATACAAACGCCAATTCATAGCGAAACATTAGTCCATTTGCTACTCATTAAAGATTGGGAAAAACTGTAATAAAAATACCCAAAACATTTTTTCAGAACTTCGTGAAAACACTAAGGAAATAATCAGGTGGATTGATCAATCTTATGATTTTTCAGGTATAGATTTAACCTATTGTCGTCATTTAAATCAATAAAATTTATTCGCATTTAAGAAGATTTCAAAACGGAAAATGTATTTTCCTTATTAGTGSTTTTTATTAGTGTATTTCTTAGTGCWWWWGCACACTWMSACAAGAGTTACAGTTTTACATAAAATCAAATGAAACTTTCTGAAGAATGAAAAAKTARCATTAAAATCAAACATATAAATTTAGATTTTCCATTCTAGAACTACTAGCAACAAAAACCATCGGACATAATTATGAAAATAATGATAAAATAAAACGGAGTCACAGACCATCAATAATAAAACAACGTCACAAATTGAAATCCGAATGAAAATGGAATAAAATAACATTAAACTGTTTTTCAAGTTAACGTGATAATTAAGTAAAGAATTGTCTCGATTATTTGTCTGGAAGACTAAGTTATTTAAAATATATCTTGGGAATTTGCGAAAGAAATTTATGAATTAGATATTTAGTTAAAACTTAAAATTAATATATTTCTGGATAAGATTTGAATTGTCGTTCCATTTATATTGATTTACTTATGCATCAAATATCGGGACCTACGTACTTAGAGAACGATTTTTAACATAAGTGGAATTCTGCTATTTATTGGATTCAATACCGAAGCCTATAGCTTCAACGGTACAAAGTTCACATGAAATAAATTATCAACGTTTGAAAAATCAATAAACGAACAAATTATGTAGTTACGTGTTTGCAAATTTTGAAAAAAAAATTAAAAAAAAATAGTAATTAATTGATATTGACAAAATATATAAAAGAAGGGTTAATTGAGGATGATTTTCTTCCTTGGGGATTGGGAATGGACAGTGCAGAAAAAAGAAAAACTTTTTTAGCTGCCAGGCTTTGGGCGATTTATTGCCGCCTTCTTCAGGGTGCTAATTTTTTCTCATGAGAAGACTTGGAACCCTCCAGAATCCTAATGTTACTAAGGTCTGATGAAACGTCTTATTTTAATGGCTTTTATCGTATTACAAGGGCGGAATTATTTTACAATTGTTCACCTGTGACTCAGGTGGATCGGTCGAGACTATCACTTACAAAATATGAAACGTAGTTTTGGATAACAAGATAAATCAATTTGTTCAAGAACTGTTTCATTTTGTATCTACACATTTCTCCATTTCAATATCTGGATGAAAACTCGCTTAAAACGCTCAATATTAAATAGGCGTTATCTTTACAGACTTCAATATAAATTTATATGCTTGATGAAATTTTAACCGTTCCTGATGTTCATTTAAATATTTGCCCCTTATATTTGCTTTATTGTGTAAATGCTGTATTGCGTGAACGATAAGCTGGGACGTTTTATTTTAATTAATGGTCACTTTGTTTTAGGTTTACACGGACTTAAATGATGAAGACCAAGATGAAGAGCGACAAGAATCCGCTTATATGCCAGTATTGCCTGGGCACATTCAAGCTCTAGAACATGCTCAAGTATGTTTTAAAATCCACCATAAATGTTAATAAATAAATTTAAAAGAATCCTTTTCATTAGGTGCCTCCGGCTTACGTGGACGATGTGCCCTCATTTATAAGAGTGAACGATATGCCTGCAATAACTGGCTTCGATAACAGAGTACGTTTTTTGCCTTTAATTTCAAAGAAAACTTGGTTATTCTTAACGATAATTTCAGGACTATGAAGCACTTAATGAACCCCGTTCGAGAGAAGAAGCACCAAACAAAATGGGTTTGTTCGAAAATGTAAGTTCAGCTCCAAAAGAAAAGTAATGTTATAAAGTGGAGAAACATTATTTTTTAATTCAATCCTTTTTTCACCTATAAAATTTCTATTATATGTTTTGATTCAATAAAATGCTAAAATATTTCTTTTGATTTCTGCACGTTACCGTGCTTACTTCTACATTGAATTTTCTATTAATTGCTTAAAGTAGTGCTATTTCAGTATTAAACAGCTGCTTTTATTTTTTGTAGGAATATACAGAACCAGAAGATTTAAACAACAGAGACAAAGAACTGATAGAGAGCAGAATAATATCATATAAGCCTAGTTTTCCACGGATAGTTACAGAAGTGCCACCTTTCACAGAACACGTAAGTACATATAAACCAGTTAATTATTGCACATTAGCAAAGCAATTATAAACACAGTTACCTTTTAGAAAAAAACTATTTTAGGACGAAGACAATAAAATAATTTTTCGTAGTCCCACATTTTATATTACACCCAACAGTTACTTTGCTGAGATTTTTTGTTTTAATTAATCCCTATAATATAAATGCTTTTACAAGTTTTAGCACTTTAATTGAATCCTGATTTTTGCTCAAGTTTCTTTACTTTTTCATTTAACTGAAACTAATTTTATGTGTGACTCAATACTACTTTTCGATTTTATTGCCGATGTTTTATGCGAGTTATCTAATTTTCTCCAATTTAAAGTATCTTTTGTTTTACTAATTGAAATAATTTTTCTTATCTGTTAAGGATATTGATGTTCATCATAATTATGCCACTATGTTTATTTGCCGAGTTATGCAGTTTTTGTATCATATTTTACGGTCTTTTGTTTCCACCATTAAAGTTCTTTAAAGGCATTTTCAGTTTTAACGGCAGTTCTATTGTTACGAGAGTGCTATCAAATGTATTATAATTTGAGAAAAGTCGAGAAATAGATTAAATTTTCAAACAAATTATTTCCTTAACTCAAATTTATCGTCTACAAAATTATATCACAATGCTACAAAAAACCAAAATGCTGTTCAAAATTGTCTTTTTAACTTTCATAAGTTTTACTTCATCAGCAAAATGCTTTATTGTATTATAAAAAACACTCACGCCTCGCTTCTAATATTAATTTTCAAAAAATGTGCAAAAATTAGACGCATTTTTGCAGCATACAAAAGCGTTGCTGTTATTGCTCTATAAACCAATACAAATATAGTGATAAATAAATGTAATAATTCACAACAACGAAGAAACATAATAATAGTTCAATATTTGAATTGATTGTCATTTTAATAAATTAACTGTCCTTAAATATGGACGGTTGTTACGAAAATTTATTTAAAAACAACTAAACTTTTAAAGAATTTAATAAATTTGATGTTGCGAAATTATCGTCATCAAATATACGGAACAATCCCTAAAGTGAAAGCAAATATACATATACACCTAAAAAACGGTTGATGAAAAAATGGATTGAAAACGGACGCCCGGCACCGAACCAATTACTTCAAGAGTATACAAGAGTATAGAAAAGTTGTTGTTGTTTACATTATATTTGAATAAACTGACTCAGTTTTGCTATAATCAGAAGTTAAATACATATTTGTGAACAACAAATTAGTTTAGTTTTCATGAACGTGCCTGACAATTGCAAAAAAACGTATTTTGGAGAACGACAAAATCTACCAAATAGACTTTGAAATGCTTTGCTAAATGTATCTTCAGTTTGCCATCAAATACTACTACACAAGTTAAACCTACAATGACGACAAACATTTTTTTTTATAGAAATCGGACACTAGTGAAGAGGAACAAATTATGGAAGAAAATCCAGCTCCAAAACCATCATTTCCACCGGCATATTTTCCTCGCCTGGTCGCTCCCGATCTTCCAGTCAATTATAAGATAGATGGCTTTGAATTCGGGTTACATCACAAGCCTCAGAACGACAGATTCAAGTTTAGAGATAATCCCGATGTCTTGAAACACGTATCTTTAGATACGCCCAGCGAGTTGGGTTTTGGACCGATCGATCCTAGATTTTATCAAGAGTTTCCAACAGGTAATTTGTTATTTATCGTTACACGACAGGGCTTTTAAGGGAAATGATACTTTCTATTGTTGGAGAAAAGTAAACGGTTCAAAAAGAGTTAGAGGAGATCAAGGGCTATTTAGTTTTTATGATTTTTTTGCACGCTTCTGTTTCCTTCAGTTTTTATTCTTTCTTTGTTTTTTCAACATTTTATTTAATCAGTATTTCGAGAAAAGGATTTGGTTGTTTCGGTCTTTGTCTGAATATTTGCTAATTTTTAGTAAAATTACCAGCATTTTCCTATTTCAGAAACTTATTTTTAGCTTAAAGATTTAGTATCAAAACGATTATATGAAAACAGCTCAATCAGATATTCCGCAGAAATATTTTTAGTTAGTTGGGTAAGACAAAGTGCACTTGGTTTCTCAACTCTTCTAACTCATGATTCATTTTTGCCGCTTTGAAAACCGGATGAGAATGAGTGGATATTTCACGCCAAATCAAATATATTCAATGAAAAAAACTAGCATTTATAGGATTTAGAAAATACATTTGTACTAAAAAAATTATTTTCAGCAATTTTCTTTCAAAGTAAATATTTTGAGCAGAAGCTCACTCTTCGACAACGGGGGTAAATTTTCTGTATAATTGACTTCTTAGGAATTAAACAAATGAGTCGATAATAAGAAATAATTGGTTTTTTACAACACTGACACTTTGAAAAGGTGAATTCTCCGAGTTAAAAGCGTAGAAAAACTTTCAGTTAGTTTACTCAACTATAAACCGTGTATATTTGTATGTAAAAGTGAATCGTTTTGATCGTATTTTAGATTTTTCTCTTACTTTAATTCATGAAATAAGAAGGCACGCGGACGATTTTCAAAGCAATATAATGGAGAAACGATCAATCCCGAATTAATGATTTTCACAATTTAATTAATTACCAAAACTATCCTGAGAAATTTCTCGGGAAAATATAACTTAGAGAATGACATACTAAATGCGATACTTCGCCTTCTTTGCAAATGCAGTTTAGTGCTCGAAACGCCAGTCTTCAAATGTTCTCTACTTCATAGTAAAATCTCTTGAAGATTAAATGGAGTTACAATGTAAATGATTGATTGAGAATCAATCAGAATTAAATTAATCTAAAATAAATCCATCAAGCTAAATATATAAAACTCCCAATATTAGAACGAACAAGCAGCAATACTTGCTTTCAAATATTGCTTATCTTTTGTGAACTGATGATCCAAAACGAGTAAACTTAAAAATCTCTTCCAGATCAAAAAGATATTGCTCCAAAGCACAACACAGTTCATCCGTACCTCCGAAAAATTCCTTCTTCTTCCAACATTGATTCCAGAGACAATTCGCACCTGGAGACTGAAGCTCCTCCTGATGACGAACCGGATCGAGAGTAAGTGGAGCATGGAGCTATGGAATGTTGGCAGTAAAAAGTCAATTTCAGGTTTTTCAACAGCAAAGATGTAGAAGTGGTACCATTCATGCCCGATACAGAGCCAGATTCAACAGGAGTTTACATAATAGCAATCGTAGCTGGAATCAGTGCAGCAGCAACAGTGGGACTTATAGCAGTGGGCATTGGTTGGTACAAGTAAGTTTCTTTGAATACTTAATATCTTCAAATTCACTTCTATTTTCCCATCAACTGAGTTTTGGGGAATATTTTTTTATTATGTTTTACTAAAATGCAACATTCGAATTTGGTATTTCCAATATCAAAACATGAAATTCTGATTTAACAGGAAACAGTTATAGTGTGTCTGCTTGAATTGAATTGAAACGATGCAACTTGCAACCGATATGGGAAACTAATCTAGTTTGGGCAACAGAACACTCTCATAATATTTCTTCATCCGGTTTCGATGTATTTTTTTCAAAATCATTGACATGTTACAAATTATCTACCTGTCTAGTAACGTCTTTAGCAATAATCAAGAGGGTTAAAATCCGGAGATCTGACAGGCGAAATAATACTTGAATGGAATACACCTGCTATTAAACGTTTCAGCATGAAAAGTATTTTGGAGGTATAAAATGGTACTATTGGATTATGAGGACTTTCGTTCTCAACATCAGATGGCAGATCATCGCTTGAATTTATATTAAAATCTGCAATTTTAACACATGACTTTGACAATGATCGACAGAGTTATTACCGCACTAGTGCGTTAATAAACATCATTACATTTGAAAGAGTGCCAAATCGTAGTCATTATATAACAGTTGTAGATAAAAGTAATAAAAAGATATAAATATTGAACATTAGTAACATGGATCAGGGGCGCTCTGTATTTAAGACTCAGTAATTTGTGAAAGCCAGAGGCCAAATAAATCGACCGCCCTACAATGAGTATTCAATGTTCTTGTTGCATTAAACAATGACGTTTTTGTCAAGAAGTTTGTTGAAAGATTTGGTAAGTGAAACGCGAGGGAACATCACAGAGCGACTAGGAACGTGAACGTAAAGAATGAACGTTTCAAATTAAAAAGATATATTTTTAAAACGAAAAACCAAATTTTACTGTTACAATCAATGTAAAATTTACAAATATTAGTTAGAAGCTGTAACATCTGGTATAGTCTTCGATCTTTTACCGGTGGAATTTTGAATTTGGCAGTCGGAAGTTGTGGTCAAAACCTCCTGAAATACATTTTATTTACTTTAAGAACATATTTTCCACATATGTAAAATGATCCTGTTAATCAAATTCTTAAGGACCAATGGCTCAGCCCGCAGCATGTTCAGAAAGCGCTTGAGACTGGTTATCCTGTCCGAGTAGAATTTTGCAGATCATGTTTAGAAAGGGAAGGAAATTTTACCTCGATTTTACAGAAAGTACTTATATTCCGATGAAGCCCGATTTACTCTACCTGGACTAGTTACGGCCCATAATGTGCATATTTCAAACGATGAAAACCCACATGCCTTTATCAAAACAAAAAAAAAGTTGTTATGAGCGTATAAATGGGCATAATTATATATGGGATAAACGGAAATTTCTAAATAATTTAACAAAAAATTACTTTTAAACATTTATCGACTTTGGTGGAGCTGAAAAGGAACACTTGAATAACGTATTTCCAAATAAGTTAATTGGCCGAGATGGATCTACGTACTGGTCACCCCGGGCTGAACACTTAAATCTCTTGGATTTTTTTCTTTGGGTCACCTCGAAGCATTAGTTTACTCTATTTCTGTTAACATCAAAGAAGGGCTGTGTTAACTTAGCTTAAGCTTAAGTTAGGATAATTAAAAAGAGTAGGAAACTTAAGCTAACATTATGATAAATGACCATATGTATGTTAATCCGGGCGCAACTAAAAGTGCATAGAGACAAATCGCATATATTTTAAACATGATTCTTAGTTATTGATAATAAAGTTCGATTTTATTTTAGGTACTGCTTTCAATATTATGTGTTTCATAATTAAGAAAAGTGCTTTATTGAAAAAACTGTAAAATATATTTTTAAAAAAATGCACCGTTTTTGCAGAAGAAAATCTGTCTTTATCTGCAGTTAGATCTGCTTTATCATATTTCCACATTTCATAATACCGTTAGATTTGTACTTGGTAGACCTCACCTGTACAATACCTTGATTTACGATAAAGTTTCTATCAAAAAAAACGTCACAAACGACAAATATGCTTATTAATAATCACGAATAAATTTAATTTTTCCTTTTGTTTCTTTGAAAGTTCCTAATTCCATAAAAAAGCCAGATCGGAAAAAAATATGTGAAGTACTGGCCTTATTTTCAAGTCTTATATAAACCTATCATTGTTGACAAACAATTTTCAAAGATTCAAACAAAATAGCAAACTACTCTCACCTAAAATCTTGGAAAATCTTGTGAAACAGTTAGTTGGGTACTTATTCTCCCTATTTAGTTTCATTTATGAAAAAACCAAAAACATAATTTTCAAGTGTCATCAACCATTTAATAACAATAATTAACATTGAGATTGTTGTTTATTGAAATCTCGTATCATCTTGCGCCCTCAGCATTGCGGCTGCCTTTTCAGGAGTTAAATCTCTTTGGGCTTGAGCCAAAAGTTCATACCCAACCATGAACTTTCTGACTGTTGCCGATCGCAGTAGAGGAGGAAAGTAGATACCATGAAAAGTCCAATGTGGATGGGACTCTGCGAGCTGAGGACCGGTAGGGGCTCCATGCCATCCCATCGAATAGGGAAAATTGCATTTGAATAAATTGTCGTATTTGGCTACCAATACTTGAAGAATTCGGGCTAATGCTTCTCTTTGAACTTCGTCGGTATCGGAAAAGCGTTCGATTTGTTTTTTTGGCAAAATCATTGTTTCAAACGGCCAAATGGCCCAGTAAGGGACCACTACAATCCATTCATTGTTTTCGGCTACTAGTCTTTCCTGTTTTTTTATTTCTTTTGCTACGTAGTCTTGCAGTAGAGGCCTTCCGTGCTTTTGAAAGTAGGATTTCAAATTATCATCTTTAATCCTGGCTTCATTTGGTAAAAAACTGGATGCCCAGATTTGGCAATGAGGATGGGGATTGGAACAACCCATCATTTGCCCTCGGTTCTCAAACAACTGAACCCATAGATATTTCTTACCCAGCTCTTGTGTTTGTCTCACCCATTCGTTTATTATATCCACTACTTCCTTCGTTGACAAACTGAGAAGCAACTATTAATTTCTCAAGTTTCATATACCAACCCATACCTACCTAGTTAAATACACATCTGAGTAGGGATGGTAGCACATGACTTTGCAAGTGCCCTTAGCACTTTTAGTCTGGAACAGCGGATCCTCTGACTCTTCAGGTTCCGGCCCTTCATCAAGCAAAGCGGGAAAGTCATTTGTAAATACATAAGTGGATTCGTATTTGGGAGTTTGCACTCCTGAGGCTCTCACCACCCCAGGACATAAAGGATTTGTGGGGTCAAAACGTGCTACTCTTTCTACGGCTGGTATTTCAGTTTGACCGCTCCACGGTCTTAAAGCTCTATGTGGGGAAACCAAAATCCATTCGTCTTTCAAGGGATTGTACCTTAAGTGTTGGTGTTCTGGAATTAATTTTAACAGGAATCGGTTTAGTAGGAAAATATTAAACAAGGCAGATAAAGGATTACGTATTTAGTAAGTGATAAACTTAAAGCAATTGAAGAATTAGGGCGAAGCAACTGGTTGAAGAAGCAACTGATGAAGAAAGTTTTTAAAAACTTATGCAATGAAGATTTCGATCTATGAAATGGTAGCAGTCGATATATTATTTGAGGAGAAATAAAATTAACTAGAAATATTCGAATAATCGGCGAACATCAAGTTCCAATAAGAGGCTCCATAATACTGAGTTTGGTTAACTTCCCCCTTCGTTCCCATTAGAAACGCAAGTACTTTTACAAAAGAAGCGTGTAAAACGTGGAAAAAATTACATTTTAATAATCTATTAAAGCAAAGATAAGTTTAGATAATTATTTGTTTCTCGAGTATTAGTGACTAGGCAATAGCTAAAATGACAAACATTAAAGTAGATTCTTAAGCAGTTATTGCAACTGTATTTGTTCATGCATATCGTACGTGATTTGCCAATGAACAATGTCTGAGATAAGAATAAGTTGAATGAGTTTTATTACATCTATTTTGATAATATTTTAATACACAGTAATGTTTTGTTGTATTTTAATTTAATTCGTTATAAAACTACCGTCGAAGGCTTTTAAGATTCATTCAATATCAATAATGTCTTGAACCGAATGTAGCAAAAGTTCACGAGAGAACCCAACTGAAAAGCTCGAGGATATATAAATTCAAAGACACAGACTTAATAGGTACTAATTATTAGAAAAAAGTACAGCAACAGAAATTAAAACTGTTTAATTCTAATGATTTATATTTCTCAAAGGTTCAGTTTTTGGAATAATTATGAGTACATTTATTTATAAGTACCTTATGTCAATACCAATAAGTTCATTTATGTAATAATTCCTCAGATTTATTATTAGATATATAAGCAAATAATCATTAAATCTTACTTATAATCGAACAAAAAACCAGTTCAGGAAATACATTTTTTTCCAACATCAAAAAATGCATCTACTTCGAACTGAAGCTTATGCAAAACCTGCTCAGAACTCAATCTTATATCTGCAAGCTTTACAAACAGAAACCCAGGCCAGATACAAATTATAAAAATAATGAGAAAATAGGCGAATTTTAAAACAAAATAATATTAAGTATTTTTCAAAAATATCCAATTAATTTGCCGTCGTTGAAACATTTGCAACTTAAAAGTTCTCTATGAGTCACAGAAGGTCTAAATGCAACAACAATTTTTTTCACTTTAAGTTAATTTTAAATCAGTTATCCGTAGGGTTTTATTAAGGAATTTTAGGAAAGTTTTCCTAAACACAGGCGAACGATTTTTTAAATTTATATACGGGTTTCTACTGGGTTCAACTGCAAAGTATTTGAAAATTCGCCAATCCCTTTATTTTGAATTAAGAAAAATAAATCATTAATTCAAGAACAATATTTTTGAGTTCAATGTGCATTTTTGAATAAAACCAGAACATCAGTTCGTGTTAATTCAAAGATCTGTAAGTTGCACATTATTTAAAATCAAGATCCGAAAAGGTTATCGGATATTGGCTCGGGCGTGCCCATGAAAAAAAGTTGAAACCATTAAGATCTTTATTCGACATCTAAAGGGCCTACCCATTGAGATAAATACTGTATTGCCAATTAAATTTTCCACCGAAGAAACAGATAAGGAAGTAGGAGATTGAAAAGCAAATTGCCGGCTTTTTGCATTGAAAGTGCGCATTATTTTCCCCGGAAATGTGTAAAGTTGGGCAATAATATCAGGTATAAAGCTCTCAACTCTTATACTTCGTGCTCAAAGCGGAAAGGAAAAGAATAATGTAACCGTAATAAGCTTGCAAATCGAGCTAATTTAATCAAAGTCTGTAATATTATTCTTGGTTCTTGTTAAGCTTAATGTTCTCTCTAAAAAAGTAGTTTCAACGAGTTATGTTTAATTTATCCCAGACGTTCAATGGAGAACGGGTTCCATTTAGCTTATCATTTTTTTCTATTAGAACCTAAAGAAGTAAGCACTCTTACGGTAATACAGGCGTCTATTGCTTCTTTCATTATTATTTGCGTTATTGAGTTTTTTAATTTGTATTTGATTTTAATTTATCCTCAAAAAAATGTCGGGGACATTCTTATTCCATCTGGATAAAATTTATTTTTTCACTGGCTAACAGTTGTCGTTTTGAAACCAATAGTAATACTTTCACAAAATACTATTAAAAATATCGTTTTCCTAACGATAGATGATTTTTTTAAGTATGCCAGAGCAACATTTTTTTTATAATTAACTAAGGATTTTAGATAAACGGTTTTAAAACAGAAGAATAGTTCCGCTATTTTTTACTCTTGATTTATAATGCATGCAGCTTTCATTTTAATTCATCTTTCTTATCTATCTCCCAAACAGCTTTTGCAATCTTAAAAAGCTTTCGAAAGTATAAATTTCGGAAACACATACCTGTAACTGACAGCTAGATTGCGTCTGTGGTTTAATTTTTACACAAAATATCCAAAAAATGCCTGACAATACAAAGTTATGATTTTCCAAATTCTACGTACTTTGAAATTATTTTTTACGCGAGATAAGTATTTAAGTGGCTATCAAGACCAGCTCAGTAATTTGTCTGTTTCTGCTTTTTTCAGCTTTGCCAATAAATTATTTGCGCTTTGTTCATTATCAAAGTGTGCTTTAAATTAGATATACTGGGAAAAAGTGAATTCAATAAAATGTAAGCACAAAGAGCTTATTAAAAATTCTACAAAGACAGACAAACTTTGAATGACCTAACGTTTAACTTTTAAAGTCCCATAGGAAATTCTTCTGAAAAGAAAATAATGGTAAAATAAAAATATTGAGATTTTACTTTAAAGGTTTTAAGGTAAGTTCTCTAGTTTCAATAGGGATGATAATAATATTCGCTCTTTAAATTTGCACAAAACAGTAAGACTCGATGCAATTCCAGAATTTCCTTACCGAAGTTTACCGCTTACGAATGCGAACTAATTGTTCATAAGTAGAAATTAAAATTCCAAAAACATGCTGAAAGCAAAAGTAAGAAAATTAACACACATCTGTGGTCCAGAACCAATACGAAATGGTAAATTAATGAGTGATTAAAAAAATATAATTTTAAATGTCGTTTTTGATTCTATCTTGTCTTACGACTTTCACTTTAATTCGAGTTAACTGTTTAATCGTTTACATTTATGTTGATCCAAAACATCCATAGAACTAGTTAATTAATAACAACAATTAGGAGGCAAAAAAACTGTAAGGATTGAAAAAAAGCTGATTTGAAAAAATCACGTTTGTTATTAAATGTAAACTGCAGTAAAAGTATTTGAGAACTTTTGCTAATAGAAATATATTTCAAATTTAACTGTGTTTATACAACAGAATATGTTTGAGATAAATTTTCATTATTGTTCCAACTGATGAGATTAATTTCGAAAGTAACATTTGTAGTTGATCTAAATTTTCACTCGATCTTGAAACGCAATTAGGCTGACTATTAATCTTTAATATACTGTAATTATTATACATATTTTTTGTTTTATGTCGATGCATCCATCGATCAGTTTCCATCATGTCGTTTTTTGCTTTCAGATGCGTGAACGGGAGACGGCGGAGTGGAGTTGATGGATGCATCGGCGAATAAAAATCCCGCGAATAAGTATTCCAATATTATTCAATTAACCATATCAACGTGTCTTGCAGTTCATATATTTGTGAGTGTTTAATTAATGTAAATGTAAATATGTGTTGAAATTAGCTACTAAATGAAATACTCTGATGATACTATTTATTGACTTCCATATTACTTATATTATAATCAGACATGACAATTATATTACTATTCTGTGACTGTTCGGAATAACTCGACAATAAAAATATTTCAAGTGATCAATCTGGCCGTTTTTGGTTTTATTGTTGCAATGTATTTAGTTCCATCAGCACCAATATAGGGGTGCTTGATTTTCTATGAGACTTTAATGAACAAAGCACTATCTAGATAACTGCGAAATAGGGCCTAGTGTCCTTTGGACACACTGTATAAAAAGCAGCAATATGTCACATAATTAATTTACTCTCAGCAAAGGTAGGTTTGGTTGCATCATTAATAATAAAGGTAACACCGGCAGGTCTAGTGTTTGCCGGTCTGGGATGTATTTCACTAATAATTAAAATATTCCCGAGTTGAATTTCGCACCCTTCAGTGAAACAGGATGGATTATATTAAATCTGCAGTAGACAGGGTCACTCCTAAGTTAATGATTTTTTTAACTGCATAAAGCGAATGACCCGGCAGCAAATGGTGAGAGGAACACTCAACAAGGTAATTTTACAGCAAAAATTAGTGTGACAAGTTTCAATAACGGTTTTTTGATAACTCAATAATAGCGAAAATATGATACAAACGAAGCAAAGTGAGATTTTAAAAATAATATAAAAAAATAAATTTTTGCAAGACTTGTTTCTTGGTTATCCGATAATTATCAAATTTAAAATACTTATGCGCTATTATCCACACCCCGCAAGAGAATTTTAAAATAGAATTTCTCAAAAACGGCTCATTTTATAGAGATGTGGCCAGAAAACCATTTTTAGGCAAAAAGCTTTGCTCATTAAATAAATGATAAAGGTCAGGTACAAATGATAATACAAAAGAGGGGGTAGCGAACATAAGTAATGTGTGCCAATTTTTAAAACAATAAAAACGCTATTTCAAAGGAAGTATTTTTAAATCACACTTAAACGTCCTGTAGATTCATTAATGTTGAGTGAATTTTCGCAGCAGTGGTATAGGAACTTATCACACTCATTTTTGCTGTAAAACTGTGGTCATACAGTGTTGCTAAGTCAGTTTGCTAAGAAGAGTTGGTCAAACAACAGTTTTTCTCAAAAAACCTAAAAGTAAGAAAGTACACTAATAATCAAGAAATTATCCAACAATATTGTAAAACAAATTTTTTAAATGCTGACTTCTATGTTTATTCTATTCTACTCGGAGTTCATATCGTTTGCACGTTTCAATCAATGTTGTATGTTATTGTAACATGTTTATTCAATTTCTTGCATTTAAAACTAGCAGTTCACTAAACAGCTTTCACTTTTAAAAAAGTTTAGACTTTGTACCTTCCTAGCAGTGTCATCAAAGTGCGACCCTTGCTCCTCATCCAACAGTTAGAGTTTTATAAATATTGTTTAACAAGCCAGAAATGCTGGTGATTTGTGAAAATATCGTGGAGAGCGAACACAAGACCAACAAAACACGAAAATGTGGAGGAAGGTCCAACAAAGAGCACGCGACTGATTACAAATGCGCCGGAACGAATTTTTAAAAAGTACGGGCAAAATCAGTTGTATCCTTTTCATTTTCAATATGTCTAAGCACTACAATCTGAAGACTTCTGAATGGTTATTTTCAACAACACGGACTTAATGCCGATTATTCAACAAAAAAGTCGCTACAGCGAAGCAATATTTGTTCTACATCACATTAACAATTTCAGAAATGCGATCAGGAATTCGAGCGAAGCATCAGTCACACTTAGCTTTCGAGGAAACACCTTTAAGGGTAAAAGCCTCTCGTGCTTGACAAACATCGGAAATAAATTAATTTCCTCGACAGCCTAAAATTGAACAGAACTTGGATATTTTAAATCTTGCTGCTGCCCACTTTTATAAAATACCAGCTCCTACACGAAAAGCTAATTTACGTCTAATTTGAAACTAAAATCTGGCAAAAATCCCACCAAATAATTTCGTACAGTTAGTAATTGGAATATCTTGACTAAATCTTATTAACTTCGACCTTTATATCTATTTCAGGCAATTCAGACATTTCGGCAAATTGCTGCACGAGTAGACATTCAGTTGCCAAACTAGTTACACTCAAACAGTATTCCATATATTGTTGAAATAAAGCAGAGATTAGCCAAAATACTATATTTTTAAATATCAAATACTTTTTTTTAATTGAACATAACATCTTTACTAGATTTTTATCTATAATTAATTAAATTATCACGTTTACTATGTTCCTAATCTTCAAGTAAGTACTTTATTTTAATTTGCCAGCAGCCACTCTGGTACGCCTCTGTTAATCGAAACAAAATAAATAATTTTACTTTAATTAATTAGTACAAGTGGTGTGTCGACTGAGATGGCGCACCGTTAAAATATGATCGACTTTAATAACTTGATGGAAAAAAGATGTTTTATTTCACATTACCGCCCGCTATTACGCTCAAGTAATTCTAGAGCTTTGTAAAGCTTGATAATAAATCATCGACGTTATAAATACCAGCAAATCACTTACCGTTTGGATTAAATGTCATTTTTGATACCAGTACTGTTAACTTTCTAAAAATAAACCATCTGAAACAACGAGTTTTAACCTTAAAACTAAGGCGAATTATGTGCTGGTATATCAGTTAGCCAAGCAAGCTGTGATCGAATATTTCTACTCTGTACACTCGAAGTTGATTACTGTTTAGTTAATCATTTAATGATAACAGTGGCGTTACATCGGCAGCATTGATAGACGCTTTAAATATTTTAAAAATTACCATAATAGCATTGTCTCACTTATCATTAGCGGAATGAAGGCCCATTTATAAACTTGATGTTGTCGTTACCGTTGCCGTTTGTGGCAAAAGTTAAAATATGAACGGTACATATATAGGGAAAAGCTGTAATAAGTAAATACACGCACATTAAAACGTTGCTTGATTTACCTAAAAAAAGTGATCTTTACAAAATAAGTATTAAAATGATATAGTAAAACTTTAATAGTTCAAAGTTGCAAGAAAATATTTAAAAAATAATCAACAAGTACTTCAAAAAAATATCCCTACAAATGTACACAGCTGCACATGCGAGCAGCATAAATGTTTCCAAAGTACAACTAATACACCCTGGTTGCCATCTACTTCTACACAATAACTGCTGTCCGGATCCAGATCGCTGAAATTCCCTTGAACCCCGATTTTTCTTCAAAAACAAAAAACCATTTAGTAGCTTAAATTTAGAAGAATACCTGCAAATCTGGTTTAATAATCTGATAAATTTTTACAATTAATGAATAATAAGCACGTATGGATGTTCAATCATCTAGGTACTGTTATACTCATATTATGTCTACTTACAATGTTACAGTATATTGAATAATGTATAAATAAATAATTAAATAAATCTTGATCTGGACCACTTACAGCCTGAAGGGCGGGGGACCGCAAAAACCGGGAATAGTCGAATGGATCCTGGCAACTGAAATTCCCTATTACGAATCGTTTGGCAAAAATAATTTTTTTAATGTCTTAAATTTGGAAATCTAAACCGGTAGGCCAGGACCACTTGCAACCTCTTAAGGCGCTATCGGCTAGACCATCACAAAATAATAAATATGATTCACATACCTGTAGGCCCTTTAGTCTGGATTCTGGGGTATTATTCACTTTAAAAGCAGCAAACATTTTAATTTACAGCAGCAAAATACTAATAATTGATATATTAGCTTCAAAGATAATTAAAGGTGTGTTCGCAACAGAACACCACATAATAAAGAAATCTGACTATTTAATAATTAATATGAAAAAACTGAGCGAGAAAAGAGAGAAAAGTTAAGCAATCCGATATAATACAAGAACCGTTTAGTTCAGAGTGTAATTGAACACAGGAAAACCGCAATAGTTCATAAAAAATACAATACACGACACAAAACCTGTAGTTCACAGGAGAACGACATTTAGCTTCCATTTATCCTATACAAACTCATGTAAAAACAGTTTACCAAAGAAAAAATCGAGTAAATGTATAAAAATGACTTGAAATTACTTTAAATTAGTTTTACAAAAATAAATTAAAAACATTGGAAAACCCAATAGAGAATCCAGAAACTCCCTCGTCGTTTCTCGTCGAATAAATATGACATGCAACAATATCATAAAATACAAATCAACAATATGAGACTAAAAGTTTTACATCTACATGGCAACCGGGGACAAAGTAATGCCAAACTTACCGAAAGCTGCATCGTGCCACCTGGAAAGAGAGAAGAAAATGTGTTTAAAACAGCAGAAAATCTAAAGCCAATTTACTTGAAAATCAGCAAAGCAAAGAGAGAGAAATATAAAGAATGCATAAAACATCAACTTCTTTTGGTAAACCTAAAATCAGTTCGAGCTAAGAGATTTATAGATAGAGAAGAGAACCTTACTAGCTTTCTGCAAGCTGGTGCTCCATCCACCATTTTTTTCCCTTTATTAATTAATCCTCCAATCCTCCAATTAATTATTAATTAATCCTTCAATCGTCAAAAAGGTTACACACACAGTGAAGAATTGAAACAATTTAAAAAGTGGCAATAATCCTGCAGTTAACGGAAAGGATGATCTACCGCACCCACTTGATTTTCACCAAATCACTCTATATTAGTAGTGTGAGATTTGATTACTTTTGAATACTCGTACCGACTAGTTACTTTTGGATTCAATACTCGTTACTTCGGATCAGTTATTCGAGTACTCATTCTAGTTGTAAGTCTTACGAAAGTCGAAGACCGATATTGGTATTTTATTAGTGCGCTTCAGATTTGTTACACGGACACTTTAGTCACACAAACCATATCCAACCGTTGAATTTATGATTTCCGTAATAAATAGGTATATTTACGTCTAAGACTAAATAATCAGACCATTTTTATTCATTTTAAGCCAGTTTTTATTGTACTCTCTATTGTTATTGTAGATATTGCCGCAGACATTTTGAACCCCCACGGTTGTTAATACCGACAGTATCTAAAAAAATTGTCTTTTTGAAAGCAAGTCATTTAACTGTGAACAAGATGCCACCCATCCATACATACATTTTGGCACAGTAATAATACAGTGCTACAATTATCAATTTTAATAACGTCTTTTTACAAATATGCAGTTTTGAAATAAGTTACAATTATCATGTTACATTATATAATATAAATGTAAATGTAAAAATATAATTGAAGTTCACCATGCGGCAGCGTGCAACACGTTTTTTAGTCAGTAGTATCATCGACCAACGTTGAAAATCAAACGCGACTTTCGG